TCAGTGCGTTCCTTGTTAAAAGGGGAACGTTGCTCAGCATCTGCTGAGGGGAACATGATTCTCGTCAAGCCTTAACAGGGGCTGAAACACACAGTACTGTAAGATGCACTGCCAGCATATTTGGTATTTTATGATAAATACAGTTTTTCCTTAGAGATCAAATTCTAGTGTTGAAATATTAAGTCTTACTGTAACCAGTTTTACTCTTGCATTGTTTTGGAAAGTGAATCCTAGTGCTCCTGTCTCACACTGAACACCGCTTTGGGAAGTTGCCATCTTCATTTTCCAGAAGGTATTGTTTGTGATGGTCAGTTGATTCTCCTGCCTCGTGGACTTCACAGCTGCAGGCCTTGCCACGAGCCCACCCTTGTTAACCAAATTAAATTTTGTACTTTCCTTCTGTGTTCATTGGCCTGCCGCTCATAACGGTGGATGTAATAATCCCCCCTGGACTTCTAGAGATTGGGTTTAAAAAGTTGCTGCTATATTTGGAAACCTGATAATGGGTCATGTTAATTGTGCCTTTCATCACTGTTTCTTCTGTGTGCCAGAGTTGTCCATATATATTTGAAGTAGTCATTAGAATAAATCTGTTCTCAAGCTCTTTCATAAAAGGAGGGGACAGTTCTGTAGCTAGAGACAGTTGTTGCTTTACTATCGCAACACTATTAAGATCTCTTCTTTCACACAGTCCCAAGGCGAGGTATTCCAATACTACTCTTCAATAAAACTGCTTTTTGGTGTCACTTAAAACCCTCATAATGTAGAGCTTATGCCAGTATGTGCAAAATATCTGCAGTAAGAGTTATGCTAAATAGACTTGTTGCAGTTAAATTTAAGCTACAGAGATGTACAAGTAACTTGTTTTTAGGGAATGTGCTGCAAAAGTATTTGAACAAAATTGCTAACATGTTTACTGTTGTAAATATTTTAATAAAAAAAGGACACTTCAAAGTTTTTTTACACAATTATCTACAATAAAGAGAAATTTACAACCATTTACAAAATGTTCTGAACTCTTTCTTTACTGTCAGGCAGCTAAGATAAAACCAAAATAAACATTAGACAGGGGAAGTCCTGGGTTTATTTCACTCTGTATTTATAAAAGGAACAAAGCATCTTGGTGAAGTTCCATCCACATGCTAATGAGATCAAATAGAGCATGATGAGGAGTGCAAACGGATACAACAGAATAGCTGTGTTCTTCAAAAAGGGCAGTGCTGGAACAGAAGCAACAAGGAAGCAAGTATAAAGTAGTGCTCTTTCCAAGATAGTGCTTTCATGGAGAATGGCCTGGGGCCGGGGGGGAGATAGCCAGAAAAAGACAGTACTGCTCTTCCAGCTGCCTTAGGAGGGCAGGTCCTGCCATTGTCACAGATTAAAGAGTACTGGAGTTAAGTGGTATAGGTAATGACCTAGAACTATAGCCTTAACCTCACCACAGAGTTTTTATCCAACACAAACATTTTTGAAGTGGATTTACAGAGGAATGAGAAAAACAAGTTGTGGTGCTACAGGTCTAACGCAAGAAGGGAAGTTGGTATGGTGGAGAATATAAATTCTTTAAGATGTTCACCCAGCTGGAACCATGGAGTGGTAAATTTCTATCAAGCTTCTCTTACCACAATGCAAGAAATTATTTCAATGACCAGCTAAGTCTCTGCTTTACAAGCTGATAGACTAAAGTCATGCTCTTGGTTGTAGTCAAACAAATACAAAAGAAGTTGCTGTTACTCACCGCTGTATCCTAGGAATGTCACATAGATGTAATAGCCGATGGCAATCAGCCATAATGTATTCCCAACAAAATACCCAATGACAGAATCAGATATGATGACATCTGTAAGAGACAACAGCTCTCAGCTGCTTTGACAGAGCATGACTCTGGAGCAGAGAGCACAAAGTATTCTACTTACAGTTGATGAAAAACAGCTGGATAAAATGCAAAATGACTAGAAGTGGATAGAAGGCATTGAGATGAACATCAAAGGCATATCCCCACTCCACATCATAGTCTCTGTTCTGCTGCTTCACCAAGTACTTGTTGGAAATGAACCTACACGAAAAGATATTTGAGAATGTTAATGCGAATCGATAAAGCTGACTGACAACAGGTTAGTTTGTGATAGCGAGCCATATGTGATCCTAACACTCTACCCTGCCAAAGCTTCTGCTATCTGGGAGAAAAATATGCCAGAATTATGCAGCCCAGACTATCATTAAAATTTTTTTGTTAAAACTGTAATGACATCCCTTGCATTCAAGGGGCAGCTGAAATACACTGCTGGTAACACAGAAACAGAACTTTTTGAAATAGGTTAGTGCTACACTTTATCGATGCAGTTACAAGGTCTCGGGCAGCGCGCCACTTTGGAGACACACAGAGGTGACTTCAGAAAAGCAACTGTACCTGACCAGTACACCTCACAGAGAGATGGTTTATTTCAGCTCTACAGAAACGGTGCCCTGCAAAGACGGAAAGAGAGCAGGCTCGCGCTCTTAACGCAAGTCCATTCTTCTTACTGAAAAGAAGCGCTATCAGAACATTCCCAGCCTGGGGTTACAGACTACAGAACAAGCCTTGAGACTGTTTTCTTCAGCTGAAGTTCTGCTGACATCAGAGGATTTATCCCATTCAGCAAAGGAACAAGAAGTCAATATGCGCTCAGAAACAAGAAGCTAAGAGACCAGCTTCCTCTGACAATAGTCTCTGTGCCAAGGGCAGGTCAGAAAGAGGCAGAGCCTGGGTGCAAGGTGAAGCAAGGCAAGAAGGGGTTTAGACTCATTAGGAATGGGGGGAGCTTCTGGAAAAAAAGGTGAGCCTGCACTGAAAGAAGGGACTTGAACCAAACTGGAGCCAGGTGACTGGGACAGAGGAAACCAGCAGATGTTGAAGTCTTTCTGGTTCAGGAGACTGCATCCTGAGTGACAAATGGCTGGAGAATGGGGGGAAAGCACTACTGTCCTCAGGCTTTATTTAAGCTGTTCAATCAAAATGAGGAATGAAGAATTTTTCTCAATCGCCAAATTGTTTATTTGGCATTATTGTTGAAGACCGACAAGATGAAGAAGAGAAAAAACAAGCTGAAATATTCATTGTAATACAGACTTTCTGAACATTCATCTTCTGCAGGGAACAGTAAAGAAAAAGATGTGTTCTTTTTTAAAGCAAGATTTTGAAACAATTACCACCACACAATATTTACTTTATAATGTTGCCCCCAACAGAGAACCAAGTGTCTTGCAAACAGCAGAGGACTATCGTGTCCCAACAGCAACACTGGGCTCAGTTTCAGACATCACTACTTACCACATCAGAGTTGCAATCAGGAGGCCAACACCTACGCAGTCTATGAATACAACCCAAAGTAGCAGCTTTATTGTTTCAAAAAATCCCATGTCCAGCACAAATCCAAATCCTACAGTAGACACTGAAAAGAGAAAAAGATTATTAGTTAGCTATGGAAGAGAAAGCACAAGATCTTAAATGGTTATGTTTTTTGAAGTATACAGTTACAAAATCTCCAGTTTCCTTATTTTTCTCCCTGAGATTTTCAATCCAACAGCTCACTTTTTCCACCAAATACTAGGTATAATGCAATTCCTTTGTAATCTAATCCACTTCACAGATTGGAGAATGCTCATCCGTACTTGGGTTTAATGATACAACAGCAAGTTGTATTGCTCTGCCCAAACTATTTTTTAAAAACTCGCACAATGCTACAATAGACTATTATTTATTTTATAAAAGCTCCTTGTTAACCCAAACCATGTGTGTGGTGATACAGACTTTTATATCAGAGTCAACCATTCTGAAATTACTAAGAGCAGTGTGCTATATAACAGAAGATGACTAGGATAATACTTAACTGCATTTTCAGTTCAGTCTAAAAATTAAAAGTGAATCTCACTAAGGCCTTTATTGTAAAAGCAGTATCTTATCTGGAACATTCAGGTAAAGAAAGCATTCAGTATTTTTTAACAAAAGCATTGCTATATAGCATGGGGGTTTTATTACTGTCTGTAAAGTTATGGGGAACTACATAGTTCAAAATGCAATAGAAAATGAGTTGCAATAGAGAGATTAATTCAGGGCTACATAGGAGTCACGCCTCCTCTTTGTTTCCTAATTGGCACCTTTACTTCCAAAAGGTTAGGCCATTTTCTTGTATTCTACTTCGATTAAAAGATAACCCATATGGATTGGTCCTTTTTGCATGTGTGCGTGATTAGAAGGGCCACAAATGTTCATCCCTAAACCCTCCCTCCCTCTCTATTATACTGCCTGTTCCCGGGCACTCACCGCAGAGCCAGATACTGAGCAGTACTAAAAAGGCAGGATCATCTCTCGCCCATTGGTCCTTCGTCTGTTTTCTGTAGTGAAAGTTCCTATAAACCCTCTGTGGCGAAGTGAATAGGTAAAGCATCTGCCAAAGAGCAAACTCAAAGTCCATCTGTCGGAAGTGGAAGAGCCTCCGCAGGTACTTGTAGCGTTTGGCTCCAGCCGTGTGCCTCGCAGCATCTCGGGGGCTCAGCGCGCCGTTGCCTTGGCTCCGGGAATTCACTGAGGTGGTCGGCAGCATTTTGCTAAAGAAGGAATTTCAAAAAGACGCGGTTGGGTTTGCGTATAAGGACGACGACAGCGCGACGCTGGCCACCCCTGCGACACCGGCGTTACAAGAACTACGCACGGCTACAAACCGCGACATTTACAGGCGGCTCCGCCACGGCCCGGCGGTCCCTTCGCTGGCTGCTGGCGGGGCGGCGAGCGGGAGGCCAGCAGCAGGCGACCTGCGGCCCCACCGGGAAGGAGGCTCTGACCCGGCACCGCGCCTAGAAGCGACGCAAGGCGTTAAGGGCCGGCGGC